TGCCTTTTGACCCCTGGGCAGCGAATCGGGCTTCCCTATACTTTGGACAATATTTAATAATATGGGCAGGGTCACCGCAGTAGATGCACTGCCCCTGCTCCATACGCTGTTGCCATACACGCTGGTCCAAGCCCAAATCTTCCCAAGGTCGGCCTTATGGCCAACCGGTCTGAATCTTCTCCACTTCTTTGGCCATTCGGTTGGCCTCCTCCCTCCTCGTCTTCTTTTCCCTTGCCAGACGCAACTTCCACTCCAATCTCTTCTCGTCTTCCATCGTCTGGCGTCCCAGGGGGTCCTCCTTAGCTTCCAGCTCCCTGGGGAATGCTTCTTTCTCCTCCTGAGGCACGTACAACATTGCCTCCTCATCTTCTCCCAGCGATAAGTTAGCCACCCACTCACTGATCTTCTTTTCCATCCACTTATCCTCTGCCTTCGTGCTGCTGCTTTCTCCTCTTTCTCCCCCACGCCTCCTTTCAAGGGATTCTTCTTCTACTTCCTCCTCCTCTGCTGCTGCTTCTTCTTCGGCAACCTTCCTTTTCTCTTCCTCCTCCTGCTGCAATCTTAACATCTCTTCCTCCAATTTTTTCTTCTTCGCCGCCTGCTCCTCAGCGATCGCCTTCAACTTCGCCTGTTTGAGGAGCTCCTTCTTCTCCTTTCTCTCTCTCAGAATGGCGGCGATCCGTTCCTGTTCAGCTTCTGACTGTGGAACGGTACTCTTACCACTACGGAGGTCAACCATGATGTCAGGTGCACAACCGGGCAAAGGTTCCACTCCTCACCCCCTGACTGACACGACTTACTGACTCAATCTAAGGACCACAGAATCCGGACAGGATCCTGTCAACTAGGGTCACTAGCCTGGACCTAAACTAAGGCTGTCACTACAGGACCTGTTGCTGATCAGGAGGCATTTAAGGAGATCCCCCGTAACTCCTCAGGAATTCTTTAACGTCGCCGACAGGACGACGCGATCAGCAGGTCCTCTCAAGACTTAGACGGCCTGTTGTGCAGCCCACAACTCGGATTTTGGGCCTACCGTGCCACACCGAGCAGCCCGCCGGCCAGTACCGGTCCTTGGGAGGGTTCGTGTCCTCCGGGACAGTCGAGTCGTCAGACACAATCTTTAGCCCTACTCACCCCGTGTGGGTTTGGTCAACAAGGCCCTATCCTTCATTCACAGAGTCCTATCACCTGGACAGAAGAGACTCAATGCAGAAAGAAGAGACAGACAGACTTGACTCAACAAGTACCACAGGGTGTGTGCACATCCATAGGGCAAGGGGATAGGCTGAAGGCTTGGTGAGATTATAGCGGCTCCAGCTTGGTCAAAATCGTGGTCAACAGTCTTGGTCAACGCCTTGGTCAACGCTGCAATCAACCCCCGATCAACCCTCGGTCAACGCCCGTCAACTCCTCATCCAGCTATGGTGGCCGGCTTCCCCTTCGTCGTCACCCTTC